CTAGCCCTAATATAATGGCTTTATCTTGGGTAAATCTTCTACTTCAACTTCCCCTGTAACTCTGGTTGCGAACATGCCCCTCAGTGTTGCTGCATAGCAGTTACCACCAGAGATGGAGCGGGGTCGAATGACTAGTGCAAGGCAGGCTGGGAGTCGGGACTCTTGGGTTCTATTCCTGGCTCTGGGAGGGGCACGGGGGGGAGGAGGGCGTCTGAACTTCATTCTGTTTCCATCTGTGGGATGGACTTTGGCTTAATGGTTAGAACAGGATCCCAGGTGCCTGGACTCCTGGGTTCTATCCCTAGCTGTGGGGAGGGAGTGGAGTCCAGTGGCTAGAGCATGGGGTGGGGTCTAGTGAAAAGTCAGGACTCCTGGGTTCTATTCCTGTCTCTGCTAGTAACTCACTATTCGATCAGGTGACAGTCCCTTCTGTGCCTGTTTCCTCCCTTCTAAAAACTTTTAAAAATCCCTCCCAGGGATGCTGCTGGACGTTCTGCAAAGCATTTGAGATCCTCAGGTGACAGGTGTGGTGTCCCTTATCTGAATGGCCCCATTCCCTGCCTGCTCTGAGCTATGCGAGGTGAGGCCCCTAAAGCCACACCCTATTCTGTCACAGGCAGTCCTGTCTTCCCCTCTGCGGCTGGCTCGGCTTTTCTTGTCGCATTTGGGGGAGAGGGGGGTTACAGAGGTGATTAGATCAGTGAAGTTTCTTTTTATGGGGGCCTTAAACCCTTCAAGCAATAGGAGTCACCTTCCCCCCCGCTCTGAACAGCGCGGTGGCCCATGACCTTATGGGTTCCCCAGGCAGTGTTAGACTGTAACCTCGAAGAGTCATGTTAACTAGCAGGACATTAAAACGCTCGTGTGGATGGGCGCAAGCTGGGTTTAACATTGCGTCAGCTGGCTGGGGTGAGCTCTCTTAGTCCATCCTGACCAGCGGACGGGATGTTAAACCCGGCTCGCGCTCCCGTCTACAAAGTATTAGTTTGACATTGTGCTCATTAAAGTGACTCCGAGGTCGTGTTCTGAGGCCGCCTTGTTGTCTAGTGAAGACGTGCCCTGACTCTGGGAACTGACTGTTCTAGTCGCATCCTGTCAGGACTCCGCAAACGGAACCATTTATTGCACGTCTCTGGCCCCCATCGTCACGAGTAGCTGAGCACTTCACAATGTCTGTTTATCCTCCCATTAGTGATGTGCTACCTCACGGGGCTATCTCCTTTTTAGGGACCTGAGGAACAGAGAAGCTAAGTGACTCTCCCGAGGTCTCTGTGGAAGAGCAGGGCCTTACACCTGGATCTCCCAAGATCTAGATTAGTACCCTAACCACGGTGCCAGCCTTCCTCTCTGACAACTCCGCTAGGGAGAATGGTCCATTACTTAAGCTTCAAAGAGTGCAGGCCTGAAATCTCAGCCTGTCTCTCGTTAATCCTCATTTGCTTGGGGACGGGGAGAAGGATGATTTTGGGGTGGAAGTGCAGGACTCCTGGGTTCTTTCCGCCTCCCACCTCCCAGCTCCGCCACTTCTGCCCTGTGGGCCCTCACTAACTGTAGATTCAGAGACTCCAACATTCCCTTGTGATCATCTAGTCTGACCTCTTGTATAACAGGCAACAGAACTTCCCCTAAGGCAAGTTCACTTCCTCCTTGTGGGTCATTCGCTCCCACCCCCACCCCCATCTTACACATGGATAGCTCCCTACTTAACAAATTGCTGGGAGGGTTACTGCAAAGTTTCCAAGGGGCTTAGAGAGCCTTTGATGGAAGGAGCTCGTTAGGTGCCTTGCAAAGTATTTCAAATATCCCTCAGTACTGATCTTTCTCCTTCATGCAAGGTGGATTGGATTTAGTCTGCCAGAGACAGCAGCCAAATGTAGGATGTGGGTTTAAAAAGTGGCGTAGTTCTTTCTCTAAATACTCTCTTGCTTTGCACTCCTGTAGCCCCTATCGATCTAGTTGCAGCAGAGCAAATCTTCTTGAGAGAGATCCGGGCCTAGAATGGGTCCGTTTCACTTTATTTCTAGTCCAAGTCATGACTTTTCCTTTCTCCCTGCTCCTACCTGTTTGCTGAGCTCTCCTCACTAACGAGCCGTGTTTTAAACCTCTCCCCTCCACCTTTATTTTCGCTTGGAATCTCGCATCTAATATTTTGAACAAAATCTTTCCGTGTTGTTTGAGTTGCACCAAGACAGCTGGGCACTGCACAGACTGCAGAGAGAGGGAGACAGGCTGACCAATATAGTCTGTTTTCTTGTGCTATGGAGGGGTAAGTATGTCTGTCCATATCCAGCTGCCATCTTTTTCTTTTCTCTTTGGATTGTAAGATCCTTGGGGCAGGGGCCATCTTTTTTATTCTGTTTGTGCAGCGCCTGGTGCAGTGGGGTCCTGGTTCGTGACTGGAGCTTTGAGACGCTATGGTAATAACGAAATAGACAGACAGAGGTTCTTGATGTCACGTGGAGTGTGACACAGAACTGGGAAGTGAGCTAAGATCTCCTGAGTCCCGGTCTGGTCTCTTTATTTGTATAAGGACGGGAGCAGGGGAGAGATGCCCTGCTGAGTGCTGGGACAGCAGGGAAAGTGTACTCTTCCCCATGGGCGGGGGGAGGGGGGCTGATGGTAACTTGCTGGGGTCCCAGTGCTGGCTCCTGGGGGGGAGCAAGGCCCCCAGCCTTGTGGGGTGGCTTTGGCAGCCCAAAAGCAGTGTGTTGTGAGCTGCGTCTCCAAGGCTGGCTTTATGCCCAGGACCCAGCAGGGACATTTGCCATGAATGTTTGATGTTGAATAAGGAGCTGCCAAGCTGAAAGGGCTGAGAAACGCTGGATGAACCTGACCTGTTTTATAACCCAGAGAATCCTGCCTCCAGCCCACATCTGGTGGTTGAGCTAGAGAGTATACCTTTAGATCAAGCCCGGGTTTCTCTTTCTAAACGGCTTCAAGTGTTTGGAGAAGCCACCAAGTGCATGATCTGAGGCTCCTTAAAGAGACGTGGGTCACAATTCTGAGCACCTGCCCTCTGAGGATCAGGGTCCCGAGAACTGAGCCAACACAGCGTTAAGGTGGGCCCTAGCTGGGACCCAAACCACTAATGGTTTCTGAAAATCGTGCCCCAGATGCTGTGTTCCTCTTCCACCCTTTCTGGGTCTATTTCGTCCTGGTCTGTGTTATGCAGAAGGTTAGGCTCAGTAGATCATGGTGGTTCCTTCTGGCCTTTCAGTGTGTGAATCTAGATAGTGTGTCTAATGTTAGCTGACACCCATAGGTCTCCTAATTCAGGCTCCTGTGAAGTCTTGTGCCAATTACTAACAGAGATTGCTTTAAGCCTGAGGTTTTATATCCCTTTTTTTATAATAGTTAATGCACACGCCCAGCAGTTCTTGTTCTGCCTGTGTCTTCAGGGCAGGGACCATGTCTCTGCAGCACCTAGCGCAATGGGGCATGGTTTGAGCCTCGAGGCACTGCCATCACGCACAGAGCACTGGAAGAGAGAAATGAAGGGGCGTAGGTCAGGGAATGTGTCTTCATATGAATTTGCCACACTGGATCAGAACAGGGAGCCCGTCTAGCCCGGCATCCCATCTCTGACGGGGGCCAGCATCCAGTGCTTCAGAGGATGGTGCAAGAAACTCTGTGGGTGGCCGTTAGAGGCACGTTTTCCCCCATGGGGATGTTTTCCACCTGACATCTGGCTCTGGAGCATGAGGGTTTTATCCTTTTCATACTACTGGGTGTCTGGGTTGAGTTGACTTTAATGCCTTACGACTAATATAACTCTGAGGCCGAAAACCCTGTTAGCGACAGTGCAGTTTTTGCCCCAGGTTGGGGTGGGCGGGGAGGGGGTGTACCCGTTTGCACAGAGGCACCAGTGGCTAAAATCCCATTGCAGACCATGCCTGAGAGGCGCTGCCCACCTGCAGCGGGGGAGGGTTGCACCCATGGTGCCAAGGTGGCATGGAGAAGGGACAGAGGGGGCTGGGGGTGGACGACTGGCACTGTGACAGGGGCTGGAGGCCAGGCGGGGGTAAGGATGCATTTTGACTGGGCTGCAGCTGGGTTGGTGGGTGGCTCTGGCATCGGGGTGGGAAGGGCACGGGTCCGGTGCCAGGGATTTCTCCCTTGCCCAGAAGAGCCGTTGGGTAGGGGAATCTGGTCTCCATGTGAAACCTGCCTGAGCCCTGGCAAAAGCTGCTCTTGTAAACAAGGCCGCATTGTGTGGCTGGGTTTATAAACACACCCCCCGCCCTGGCGTCTTTCTCCTCCAAGCTCTGAATGGGCCTGGCTGCCCGCCAGCAAGGCGAGCCCGTGGGGGGGCCCACGGGAACGCAGGCCTTTCCTCCACTGCCTGCAGAAGGCGAGCTGCTACACTTGGGCTCCTTTCCCAGCCTCTGGGAGGGCAGGAATTGGGATTGGGGATCTTAGGGGAGGCCTTGGGGATTAGGGATGATGAGGGCCTGGAGGGGAAGGTGTGGGGATGCAGGGGAGCTGGGATCAGTGGGGAGCTGGGAGGAGGGGAGGTTGGGGGTCAGGGCTGGTCATCTGGGGGAGGTGGTGTGTGGCCTGGGATTGGGGACAGGGATGTGGAGAGGGGTGGGAGTGGGGGGGGTGTATGGGGGGAGCACTAGGGACTCCTACCATTGTGTTTTCCTGGGGCCCAAGTCTGGGGCCCAGTCTGCAGGATCAAGAGAGGCCACAAGGGGTGAGGAACGGTACTGAGGAGGTGGGGGGTGGTCTGAGATTAGTGGGCATGGGCTGGGGGGGTGTTTGTGTGACCACAGGAGATTGAGCCCCGTGTTTGGGGCGGAAGAGGGGTGGGTTGCCACGGGTGCGAGCTGGCACAGCTGGGAATTGAACCCGGGGTTCTGCGAGGGGTGGGGTGGGGAACGCTGCGGTTTGAGCCCAGCGTTCGGGGTGGGGGCATCAGAGTGGGCGGTTGGGCGTAGGAAGGACGCTGTATTGTTTCCAGCTGTGCGGTGACACCTCCCACCTCTCTTCCCCCTCAGGACCAGTTTGACGACATAGAGCGTCACACCCAGTGGGGGCTGGATCTGATGGAGAAGTACGTGAAGTTCGTGAAGGAGCGGACGGAGATCGAGCAGGCCTATGCCAAGCAGCTCAGGTAGGAGGGCAGGGGACAAAGGCCAGAACTGCTGCTTAAGGCACAAGGGCCTAGTGGTCAGGGCACCTGGATTTTAGTCACATTCCCTCCCAGAACTAGGGCCGGGCAGGATTCCTGGGTCGCATTCCCTGCATTTGGAGGGGAATGGGGTCTAGTGGTTAGAGGATGGAGCCAGGTTCCAGGACTCCTGGGTTCTTTCTCTTCAGCTCCTCCTTTGGTACCTTTGGAGCAAACAGTCTCCTCTCTCTGGATATGTTTACACTGCAGTAAAACGCCCACGGGGTTGGCCCGTGTCAGCTGACTTGAGATGCGGGGCTAAACATTTTCAGTGTTGATGCTCGGGCTGGAGCCTGAGCTGTGTAACGTGGGTCCCAGAGCCTGAGCCCAAACATCTGTACTGCGATCTTATAGTCCCACGGCCGGGGTTCGTTGCAGTGTAGATAGACCCTCTGTGCCTCCATTTCCCCATCTGTGAAATGGAAATTGAGGCAAAGGCAGTAGAAGGGATTTGCCCAAAGTCGTGCAGGAACTGGCTGGCAGGATGGCCGGATCCCAGGCCCCACTCACAGCTCTGTCCTTCCCTTGTCTCTCCCCCATCCCTGACCTGTCCATGCCTTGTGGCAGAGACCACTCATACCTGCCAATAGTCGGTGGGGGCGAGGGGGGCGGTGGCAGAGTGAGGGCTCCTGGCTTCAGTAGTGTTACTGAGCATGCTCAGTACAAGCCAAAGAGCAAATGGGGGGAGGAGGCACATAACCCTGCATGCCCCCCCCCCACCACCACTCCCATGCGTCATGTCTGCCATATTATCTGCATTGTGCTCCAAGATCCCTGCTTGGCCTGGCCTAGCAGGGAGCAAAGGGTTAACTAGGTGCAACTCAATGTTTCCTAGTTAATTTTCCACCTCTTCCCCTCCCAAAAGCTGCTGCTCTGCCAGCAGGGCAGCCAGTCCCTTGGCGCTTCCAGCCTGGAATACAGACGAATGGGGGGGGAGATTTGGGACCTGCTGTCCAAGTTTGTTTGACTCCTTCCCGGGTTGCTGGCTGGATTTTACCAGTGACTCCTCGCTTTATGCTCTGGCCCTTGGTTGGGGGGGAGTTGTTGGTGAATCTGCTCTGGACTGCCCCGGAGACCGTCTTCTGCCTAGCTCCAGAGCAGATATGCTCGCTGCCTCCCACATACCCTGGTGATGGGCATCAGGAGAAACTGGCGCATGGCATGGGGCAGTGGCAGGGTAGGCTGCCCTCTGCCTCCTGCCCACATTTACAGATTCCCAGGCCAGAAGGGACCACTGTGATCATCTGGTCTGACCTCCTGGATAACTGCCCCCAAATAATTCCTAGAGCAGAGCTTTTAGAAAAAGATCCAACCTTAATTTAAAACCTCAGTGATGGAGAATCCACCATGGCCATTGGCAGGTTGTTCCAGTGTTCAGTGACTCTCCCTGTTAAAAAATGTATGCCTTATTTCAAGTCAGAATCGGTCTAGCTTCAGCTCCCAGTCATTGGACCGTGTTAGACCTTTTGCTGCTAGATTGAAGAGCCCCTTATAAAAGATTTGTCCCCCAGGTAGGTACGTATAGACAGTGATCAAGTCACCCCTTAACCGTCTCTTTGTTACACAAAGAAGTTGGCGTTCCTGGAGTCTCTCGCTATCAGGCAGGTTTTCTAACCCTTTCCTCATTCTCGTGGCTCTTCTTTGACCTCTCCCCATCCTCCTTGAATTATGGGCATCAGAACTGGATGCAGGATTCCAGCAGTGGTCGCACCAGTGCCAGATAGAGGGACAATAACCTCTCTGCCCCTGCTTGAGATTCCTCTGTTTTCACATCCCACTGCTGCAGAGGCCACACAGCACGGGGAGGAGGTGAGCAGCCCTCAGTGGGGAAAGAACAGCTTAAGGACTGTTTAGAAAAGCTGGACATACACAAGGACTGTTTAGAAAAGTCCCTGGGTCCAGATCTAATGCATCCAAGGGTGCTGAGGGAATTGGCTGATGTGATTGCAGAGCCATTGGCCATTATCTTTGAAAACTCGTGGTGATCGGGGGAGGTCCCGGACGATTGGAAAAAGGCAAATATAGTGCCCATTTTTAAAAAAGGGAAGAAGGAGAACCCAGGGATCTACAGACCGGTCAGCCCCACCTCGGTCTCTTGGAAAAATCATGGAGCAGGTCCTCAAGGAATCCATTTTGAAGCACTTGGAGGAGAGGAAGGTGATCAGGAACCGTCAACATGGATTCACCAAGGGCAAGTCATGCCTGACCAAGATGATTGCCTTCTATGATGAGATAACTGGCTGTGTGGATATGGGGAAAGCGGTGGACGTGATATATCTTGACTTTAGCAAAGCTTTTGATACAGTCTCCCAAAGTATTCTTGCCAGTATCCAATCCATAAAAATGTATGGATTGGATGAATGAACTATAAGGTGGATAGAAAGGTGGCTAGGTTGTTGGGCTCAACAGATGGTGATCAACGACTCGATGTCTAGTTGACAGCCGGTATCAAGTGGAGTACCCCAGGGGTCGGTCCTGAGGCCGGTTTTGTTCAACATCGTTACTAATGATCTGGAGGATGGGATGGATTGCACCCTCAGCAAGTTCGCAGAGGACACTAAGCTGGCAGGAGAGGTAGATACGCTGGAGGGTAGGGATATGGTCCAGAGGGTCCTAGACAAATTGAAGGATTGGGCCAAAAGAAATCTGATGAAGTTCAACAAGGGCAAGTGCAGAGTCCTGCACTTAGGACGGAAGAATCCCATGCACCGCTGCAGGCTGGGGACCGACTGGTTAAGCAGCGGTTCTGCAGAAAAGGACCTGGGGATTACAGTGGATGAGAAGCTGGATATGAGTCAGCAGTGTACCCTTGTTGCCAAGAAGGCCAATGGCATATTGGGCTGCATTAGTCGGAGCGTTGCCAGCGGGTTGATGGAAGTGATTATTCCCCTCTATTCGGCACTGGTGATGCCACACCTGGAGTATTGCGTCCAGTTTTAGTCCCCCCCACTACAGAAAGGATGTGGACAAATTGGAGAGAGTCCAGCGGAGGGCAACGAAAATGATCAGGGGGCTGGGGCACATGACTTATGAGGAGAGGCTGAGGTAACGGGGGTTATTTAGTCTGCAGAAGAGAAGAGTGAGGGGGGATTTGATAGCAGCCTTCAACTACCTGAAGGGGGGTTCCAAAGAGGATGGAGCTTGACTGTTCTCAGTGGTCCCAGATGACAGAACAAGAAGCAATGGTCTCAAGTTGCAGTGGGGAGGTTTAGGCTGGATATTAGAAAACACTATTTCACTAGGAGGGTAGTGAAGCACTGGACTGGGTTACCTAGGGAGGTGGTGGAGTCTCCATCCTTAGAGGTTTTTAATGCCCAGCTTGACAGCGCCGTGGCTGGGATGATTTAGTTGGTGTTGGTCCTGCCTTGAGCAGGGGGTTGGACTAGATGACCTCCTGAGGTCTCTTCCAACCCTAATCTTCTATGATCGCATTAGCCCTTTTGGCCACAGTTTCACAATGGGAGCTCGTGTTCAGCTGATTATCCACCATGACCTCCAGATCCTTTCCAAAGTCACCACTTCCAAGGCTAGAGGCCCCCATCCTGTAAGCATGGCGTGCATTCTGGGTGTCCCAGATGTACACATTTACATTTAGCTGTATTAAAACACACGTGGTTTGCTTCCACCGATTTTACCAAGCCGCCCAGATCACTCTGTGTGAGGGACCTGACCTCTTCAGTATTCATCACTACCCCAGTTTTTGTGCTTGCTGGGGCTTCTGGGGGCGTGTCCCATGATTCTTAGCACTGCACTAAGTTGAGCCCCTCTGTGACTTCCTTCCCAGTGCATCCTGGGAGAACTTGGCTATCCTTTCGTGTGGGGGATGGTGGGAAGGCTAGCAGCATCCAAGGGGCACGAGCCTGCGGCCAAGTCTACACTCCAAGGTGGCTGTGTTAGCAGCTGATGAGATTTGCTCGCTCCGGCTTTAGCCTATGCTCCATCTTGGGCCAACTGGCTCGAGTTAGCAGCCCCGCAGCACAGGAGGGAGGGGTTTGTGCACCGACAGGACCCGTGTTCGGGACAACACTTGAGTTAACTCTGCAGAGAAGACCGAGCCCAGGGAGAAGCGGCCAAGCCAGGCCCACCCGGGCAAGGGGGACTAGACGGCTCAGAGGATGGCAGGGGAATGCTCCCAAGCAGGCGAAGGGGTGTAGACACTCCCTTCCTGTTAGAATTTAAAAGGAATCGGGTGTTCAGATCCCGGGGCAAGGGGGCTGGCGATATCAGTCAGGGATCCTAGCAACCTCCAAGGGAGGGAACCAAAAACTGCGTGAGAAAGTGGAGGGAGCCTAGCTGGAAAGCACCTAACGCTCCTCTGCAATGCTGGCGGCGGCGACTTACCCAGCAGATGAGTGGCAGAACCCGAACAGAATCCAGGTCACCTGGGTCCCAGCCTTTTCCTCTAACCGCTGTCTGCCGAGTCCCTCTGCCCTGCTCAGGGCTTCCTCCCCACCCCATTGAGCTGACCCAGCATGGAAACGCAAGGTGCTTTCTTGACCTGGCTGCCGGGTAACATGTTTCTCTTGAGCATCTGGGGAGGGTTGGATGCTGGCTGAATGCGGCTGCTTCTGAGGTGGAAGAGAGCAACTTGCTGCTCCCCCTTGCACACTGTGCTGTTCAGGGGGGACTCTGAGGATGCAGGGGTGAGTCTTTCTGAGTTAGGGGCTCTGTGATTCCCACGTATGCTACACGACTGCCCCTATGTGGCACAGCACGGCTGCTGGGCATTTCACCCCGAGGAAGCCTGGACAGTGCGGTGGCTAGGGCTCTAGCATGGGCCTTGGGTGGCTGTGTGGTTCAGTGGACAGGGGACTGACTGGCTGTTCAGATGTAAGAGATCTGGGTTCTAAACCCAGCTCTGCCCCAAACCCCTGGGAGATGTGGGCAAGTCACTTAGGGTCAGATTTTTCAAGGTATTTAGGATGCCTGATTTCTATTGAAAT